GGTGCGGCGAGCGGTGCCCTCGGGCCGGCGGGGAGGAGCAGAACTGGACCGGGCCGGGAAGGACCCCGACCCCAAGGCTGCCTCATCCCCTGGACCCTCCGCCACGCACCGCGGGGAGGAGCGGAAACACCGCGGGGAGGAGCGGAGACACCGCGGGGATCCCTCAACCCTCCCGGTCCCGTCTGACTTGGAGCCCGTTCTTCCCACAAATCCCTTCTTTTTTTTCTTCTTCCCTTGATTTTTTTTCGGCCGGCAAACACCCAGCGGGCAAAAACCAAATCTCTGGAGGGGATTTGAATTTTTTTTTAGCCCTTGGTTTGGTTTTAGTTTTGGTTTTGTTTCTTTTTCCCTGTGTAAAGACTGCAGGATCAGCCCCTATGCAGAGAGAACAAGGCACTTTGAGAAGAGACAGCCACGCTCATCCTGTTATTTATTCTACATTATTGTTGTTGTTGTTGCTAATAATCGAGACACGAGCAGTCTCAGTCGATCAGTATTAAATGGGTGAAGCTCTGTTGGCAATATTTGCCATATGGATATTTTTGGGGTGTTTTGTTTGGTTTTTTTTTTTTTTTAATTGTAGTTAACCTTTGTAAATTTAAAACTGATCATGGTCTCTGTGTAAAGAGAATCCTCCATATGTTTTTATAGAAATATATATATAATGAAGGATTATTCCCCTCTCTATTTTTTTTTTCCCACCCTGACTTTGTACAGTTCGTTGACACCTATTTTAATTCTTCCTGCACTGTATAAAATTGTAATTATGTGGGGTTGTTTTTTGTTTGGGTCTATATGTATTTTTAATTTGTGTACGTTTTGTCCCTTAAAAAAAAAAAACAAAAACAAACCCCAACAAAACGAAACCAAAAAAAAAAATAAAAAATCGAAGGGAAATAAAACATGTATGTTATTTGTACATGGGCTTCACCATTGTATGAGCAGCAAATAAACGAGCATGCGGTGTAACACGCCTAGTGATATCTGAAGAGTCTCTGGCCCCTGCCCGGCTCCGCGGGGCGCGGAGAGGCCGCGGAGGGCCCGGCCCGGCCGCTCTAAACCTTCCCGCGTTTGATGCAATAATTTCCCATCTCGGTGCAGAGTCGAAAAGGCCTTTTTTTTGGGGGGGGGTTTTGGCTGCGGCTCCCGGAGGGCTCTGTGACTCGTGTCTCCCCTCCCGCCCCCCAGTTCGCTCCGCGGAAAGATTTAAAATTCAGATCGTAAAACGAGGAGGGAGGAGAAACGGAGGCGAGTTTGAATTTGATCTTTTTTATTATGATGATTTCAGAGATTTTTCTTCCCCAAGGCGAAGGCGGGAGGCGGCGTTTGACAGCGCTTTGCAGGCAAGATGTGCGGCTGCAGGGATGCGCCTGCTGCTCCTTTGCCCTCCTCCTCCTCCTCCTCCTCCTCCTCCTGAACCTCCGCGAGCAGCGTCCCCGCAGAGGAGCGCGCTGAAAGGTTTTTTTTTCCCCGACCTGGAAAGAAAAATCACATCCTGAGAACCAAGCAGATCAAGCCCTGCACCATCCCCTCGCGAGGACCCCGGAGGCAGCGGGGCCGCTAACGCTGCCGCTGTGAAAATGGGGCTTTTCCTGCCACGTCTGGGTCTGTTCGGTCTGATTGAGGCCACTGGTGTATCCAGGAAATTTTGCTTTAATCCATGGGCCAATACGTCTGTAGCAACACTCATCCCGCGAACGTGCACGCACACAAAGATAGATGCACGGGAATGAACCCGATTATTGGCTGCGGGTTTCTGTCCTTGCATTGGGGAGTTGGTTCCTGCCTCCCACTGACCCAGCTTTGTGGCATCACCTTCGTTTCAACTGGTTAAAAAAACACCCCCACCCAACCACAACAGAACAGACACAAACCCCACCCACCCAATTTGCTAATTAGTATTTTAATTAAGGCAGGTGAGAGAGGTTTTGTCAGAGTCGGTGGAGGCCTCTCAGGGAGCAGGGGGGGTTGGTGTTGTCTGAGTTTCTTTGTTTGGGGGCGTTTAGGGGTTTGGTTTGAAATATAGATATATTTTTGAGAGTAGGTGTGTTTACTGGCAGTCCTGCAGTGTTTGTGGGGGTGTCTCTGGGGCTGTGTTTTTACGGATGGATCCCTCTCTCCCCCGGCCCCGGCCCGGGAGGAGGAGCTGCCCCGTTACCCCCGCACAAGCTGAAGCCGGAGGTTTTGCTCCCGGAGCGAATATCTGCGCTAGGTGCGGCCGAGATAAAGGTCCGGGGTAAGGAGTTCAGCCTCTGCCGGGTGGTTTTGCTTCCCTTGAAATCTCCCTGTCGCTCCTAAGGTTCAGGTTCATCGTTCAGATTGGTTCTGAGCTCTCTTGTTTG